CCCTGATAGATGTCTGTCTAACCTGTTCTTAAATATCTCCAGTGACAGAGATTCCACAATCTTGGTTAACATATCCTGTAACAATTAAGCATATTTTTTCCTCATCTGTCTCTTTTTCGGTTGATGTATGTCTTAGGATTTGTTCTCAAACTAAATTCTTCTAACCTAAAAACTATTGCAGTAACTGATGCCCACTCAGTCAGTCTTTGACCTGTTTCATTCTTCCAACTTCATGGCTCCCAACTTCAATCTACCTTCTTGGAGTAGATTTTAATCTTGTTTCTCTAAAATTTTATTTGTTTGAACCTGTCCACCTATAGTCACTGATTCTAAGGCTATCAAGATGGTATTGATCCATTTCTTTAATTATTTGAGAAGATTTTGTAGTTGCATACACTGTTATTGCATCCCAAAACCTAGATTTCATTATAGGTTTGACAATGCCTCTCCTATTCTTTGTATGGAGTTGATCTCTGGTTCCAGCCAGCTGTGTGTTAATATGGCACCTAGTTTTCATTTCTGTGGTAAATTTGTTTTATATGGAGGGGTTTCCAGCCCTACAGTTTAGGTCCCATGACCTTTATTCATTACTTGGCACTATCCACAAGTGGACACTCCCATCTTCACAACATGCTTGGTACTTTCAGATGTTTCTTGGTTACACTGGTATAACTCAGAAATAACTCCAGTGATGTGTACCTTAAAAACCAGTTTAAGTAGTGAGGACAGAATTGCAAACTGATCGCTTTCTGTGGTTGCTTTCTTCATGGTAGAGTCAATGAGGACATGTCAATTCCTATTTAACATTTGAAGGTCACAGAAGCAAGAGCCCCTTGAAATGACTGGGAATCATTCTATTTTTTCCAATAAGGAGAAAGATCCTACAGAAGGAAAGGTAACAGTAGCATAAGAAATTCCTCAAACAGTAAATGTTGGAAGTGAGCCAGACCACCAAGGTAGGACAGAATCTTGTAGCTGTTCAGCTTTCTTACTGTATAACAGATACTGACATCAGAGAGGCAGCAGAGGCCACTGAAAATAACAAAAAAGCCATGCCTACGGAACTGGCAAGAAAATAACTAGGCCCAGTTCCATCCAGAGGCTATTCTGTAAATCAGGATGCAAAAAGAATAACCTGCTGGGGGTACCACAGTATTTTAGATGTTGCAAAGTGCCAAATGTGCTACTTTACCTTCCAAAGCTTTTGTTAGTCTCTGTGGCAATTACAGAATGCAAGTAACTTGAATCCCTGAGGAGACCAACAGCTGATGAAGAATGTAACTGTTGTAGAGGATGGCACTCCTGCAGGGGCACAGGCTGCTTTACAATGCATATAGTTTCAAAAAAGCACCTCCACCACATTAGGGGGTGCAGAGTGGGAGTGCTGGATTCTGTCCATTCATGTGTAAATTGAGTAAAAGGCAGCTGGCAAGTTAGGTGCAAACTGTGGTGCCAATGTTTGGGGGAGGTGGGGCTGACTCAAGACAATACAAAATCAGACAAATATAAGCCCTTGTTGCCATACACATCCACTTTCTGTAAGGCAGAAATGGATATTTAAATGAGAAGTGTAAAATTATAAATGCAAATGTAAGATCTTGATGTAGATTGCCCCCTATAAACATCTGTATAAGTGCTAAAAGACGGAGGTTATCCTTGTATACATATGTCAATGTCAATTCGATTATTGAAATGTTTGTAAACTTAAAAATATGCAGGTTTGGCAATGTCTCAAAATGGAGTCTGAAACTCCATTTTGAATTTAGAACTCTTTCTGGTAGCTTCCATTTGAGTTATGCATTCTATCACGTTCACAGGTAGCTGTTAGAGTTTGAAAATAGCAACTCACCCACCTGTTGGAATTTACATGATTTATGAATATTCACAAGCATCCTGTTCTACCAATCAGTTTAAAACACGCCGTAAGAGCATCCTTTAGTGTTCAATCATTTTAAACCTTAGGGTTCATGAATACGTATGAGCCAAAACTATAAAAGCTTCTGTCATGCAGCAGTTACCTGTTGCGTCGGGGCGTCGGGCTTAGGGATAGGTTAGAGAGAGAGAGATATCCTTCAAGTCTTGTCCTAGGTCTGATAGAATGAGAAAGGTCGTGTAAAGCTATTTCTTTAGAGAACCTGACGGAAGGTCAGTTCTCTCATTTAGGTTAGGTTAAGGTAGTTTAGCTTTTAAATAGTATAGCTCCCGTCATCATGTTTGTACGGCAGGTTGCGTCGGCTAACGCATGTCGGCCGTCTTCGTGACTGTCTGTCGGGCGTGTCGGGATTAGTTTAAGGTTTTATTTTTAGGTTATGTTTAGGATAGATAGGATCCAGAGTCGTCCATCGCCTGATCCAGTTGCACCGAAGCGCGAGAAGAGGTGTCGAGGACCAGAAATTCTGCGGAAGGCGAATCGACTGTCTTCGATCTCAACTCCTGCTTCGAGGGATCACCTTGGCTGTTCCTCTCCTGCAGCTAGCAAATAGCCAAAGGATCGTAGGTCGCCAAGCACCAGATCAGCCAACGAGGGACACAGCGACGAGGGACGGCAGGTCCTCCCCAAAGGCTTCCAATTAGCCCTAGGGTCGTAGGTCACCAGCATCCATCAATCGTCTTTATCGTAGACTCTGTAGTAGGTATAGGGACCTTGAGGGACTTCCCCTCCTGGTCCACTTAGTGTAAGAGGGGACTTCCCCCTTGGGTTAATTTGAGGTATTGTTTTGTTAAATTTATTTTTGCAACAATATAGTCTGGTGGTTTTCAGTTTAAAACCAAGTCTTAAGTTTTTATTTAACGCGCCACCTTAATCTAATATCTCACACTCTCCGGTGATCAGATACGGCGAGAGGGTCGCTACCTTAAAAACCATCCCTTGCGGATTGGTCGGGTTATTAAATTAACTCTTGGGAGAAGTGTCCTTAAAGACCTTCTTCAATTCTGTCAACATACAGCTAACATTTCCTCACTTGCAGGAGAAACAATTGCAATGTGACCACAGAGGGAGACCGGTATTGCTATTCTTCTTTTTAACATTTTAAATGAATGGTTAAAAAGTGACAACACAGGGATAAATGAAGCCATTTATTACAGAAGCAGTAGAGGATGACCAGTCTCAGTAGCAGCTTCCTCTCACCACCATGACCTAACAAAAAAAAAAAAAAAAGTTTTTTTGGTGGCTCTCCCCTCCTAATCAACTAATCCATGGTATCTCAGCAAAATGGCTGCAAAAAGTTCACCTGTGATGGAAGTTTAATGATATGACCAGGATCAAGTCCACTGGGAAGTGAAAAACTCAGTCTGGCAAAACTCAGATCATGCTACAAGGTAGTATTGAGTGCCAGCAATATGCACACAAAAACCAAATCTACATTCTTTCATCTCAGAATGCAGGAAGAACCACCATTCTGCTTTTACAGCCTCTAACATAGGAAAGCACCATTTTGAAAAAATGCCTCGGTCCTGCAAAGAAAGATATGGTGATGGACTCTTGTCTTCAGAAGACTAAAACTCTGCAGAACTTCAGGATTCTCTTGGCTTCTTCACTGCCAAGTGTTTTTGTTTTATTAGTTTGTTTTTTTTATTTTTAAACTAGAACTGGCCACAAAACAGCATTTCTTTCTCAAGAAAAAGTTTGGGATCTAAAAGTCAATTTTGTAAGGGGGCGGGGGGGAATCTATTTAAGTAAAACCACAATGGTTTGGTAGGTTGGCTTTTGCTTGTTCTGGTGTGCCTCCCACAACTATACACTCCCTGGGGAATCAAATAACATGGATAAGCAGCTGCCTGGGGAGTATAAAAACTGGCTCCCCAAGCAGTTGCCTCCCTTTGTTACCCCCTAAGGGAGGTAGGAAACTCTGCCCAGACAGTTGGAAATCAGCTGTCCAGGAAGCCAGGGGAGACAAGGCTGGCAGAACTCAAGGAAGGCTGCCTGCCTGATTTCTGTCAAAACTTTTGACAGAATAAACACAATCCTGCAGAACATTTTGGTTCAATCAAATGTATTTCTACAGAAATACATTTTTTTGCTACAGAAAAAAAATTCTGTCAGGATTTTCAAACCGCCTCTCCTTTTTTGCCCCCTTTGGCTGATCAGGAGCCTGTTCCTCTTTCTATCAGATAAGGACCTAACCAGAGTAGTTGTTTGTTAGTTCTAACCAGGCTAAGTTACTGCAGTGTATTATATCCAGTAGTGCTCTGAAGAAGCTCCAGATAAACCTAAATGCAATGATCCAGCTTTTGATTAACTTGATTGAAGAGAGCTCATTAACCTTGAGCTCAGGTTTTATATTCTGCCAGACCTGAGTGAAATTTATTGGCCAAAATGCATTCCATTACTTATCTAGGCAACCATTCTACTGTATTCTAATACTGCTCTTCTGAAACATCAACTCCCCAGTTTCTGATGTCAATGGCAGCTCAAAGCACCAAGCAGGAAGCATTCAGCATTCATTCACCTCTTTAACTAGTTAACTAAACTGCTGATTCTTCCAAATTCTTGAATCACAACCAAATGAGGTTCTCAGAACTTAATTTTCTTCATGGAAGGAAATATTTCATCTAGAAGAGCGAATATCTTTAAAAAGAAGAGATAAGTAACTTTGCACAAAATATTAATGATGTTTGAAATGCATTTTACATACAATTCACTGGGCTAGTAACAATACTGTTCCCATTGAAGTAAATGGCAAATCTCCTGTTTACTTCAATAGGACAACAACTGAGTTGCAAACATGAAAGTTTTCTTCCCTTTAAATAAAAGGAATGATTATTTAAGTGTTTTCCTTATCAATTTCCATTCTTGCTATGTGGATTGCTCTCTTGACCCCCATGTCAAAATCCTGCAAGCTTCTTAGTTATGCAAGTAACCATTTGATTCAGTCTGAAAGTGTACTGAGTATTTGATGAATGCTGATATTTTGTTTATGCTACATCAACTAAATAAACGAAAAGGTCTCACATTATGTGGTTATTTTCACTTGCTGAGTCAGAAAACAAAGCCAGGTCCAACATCTGCTTTTATTTTTTGTTCGGTAAAGCTTACATTTCTCCCTTAGGGTTCATTCAGGGCAAGCAAACTGCTGCTAAACATTGTAATTGCAACATGCTCAGCATGGTGAATATAATAATATTGTAATTGTCCAAGGGTGTGAACAATTTGGACTGATTTTTGTATAGTGTATAATTTACAGTAAAGATTCAGAATGTGTTTTCTTTGCTTTGAGAGCCATTTTCATCCTTTTAGCTCTGGATCATTATGCATGGAGACAAGCATCCACAATCAGATTTCATCCAGATGAAGAACAACATCTGTGGAAATAGAATAACTTATTTTATTAACATTTACATAATTGTATCTGGAGCTGATTCTATTTGTGACAGTCAAGGAAATGTAACATAACTTGAGGTTCAATGTAGTCATTCAGACAAAACAAAAATATACAATCTCATGAAATGTTACCTCAAACATAGCAGACTAGCAACAGAGACTGACCTGGGGTGAAAAAGTGTGTGAAAATATTAATGAATCTTGGAAATAAAAGGGTTTTTTTTGTAAATACAGTGCAAGTCAAATCCAGTTACTGTTTACGGTAATGCCTTGATCCTGCAAATACTTACTTGCTTACTTTTAAAAACTGTGAACAGTCTCTTTGAAGTAAATGGGACTAATAACAGTAAATGTGTAACACTAAGCACATGCATAAATCTAAGCAGATGAGAGCCCAAACACCTACTCAGTACATCTGTGGGTGGTAATTAAAATGATGATTTGCTGAACAGGATTAAGGGAATCTGCTACTCTTGTATGAAATGCAAGACCCCCAGCATATGCCCCATGTCTTGCTTTCTTTTAAAATATATTTTATTTCATTTCTCAGAAAACAGTGTAAAAATATGGATTAAATCTGATTGTGTATGCTTGTTAAATTTTTCTATTTATGTGTGTTACTATTAAGTGTACATTTCATAATAGACTAATTTTAAGATATTTTGTGCAGATCTTGCAAAAGTCCTTGAAAAATAGAGTTTAATGAACATTTTGATTAAACCTTACAAAAATGTGCAGTTATACCTGGGCACAGGCCCTTGGGTGCAGGTGTTCATCTGCCACTGCCCATAACGAGGCCCAAACATGATGCACAGATTTGACTAATACAGTCTTTATGATGTGCTATTCCACATCTAGACTAGGATTAGACTGTATCTGTGTAACTAAAAAGGGGAGGGGGAATAGATTTGCTCTGAATACAGAGCTGCTTCTTTCCAGGAACTTTAGTCAATACTAATCATATCTGGAAAACCAACAGTGATATACTGAGATGAGTAACCTTGCCATTCTGAAACTATTTTTCCGAAAGATCAATAAATATTTATGTGGGCTGATTACGTTGCAAAATCTAAAGTAGAGAACTCAGGATAAAGGCCAGTTTCTAACAGTCATTCTGAGACAGACATTCAAAGACAGACATTCCTGAATTTTAAAAAGCGACTGTTCAGATAAGGTTTGTTCCATGTGTCCTAGTGTCTTTTACTCCATCACCTACTTTTTGAGTTGAAGCCTGTGGTGAAAGAAAATCTCCTCTTTTCTAAACAGTAGAGGAAACATTTGGCTTGATACACAAACACCCATCACCACTGAGGCATGAGATTTTAGCACTAACCCCTGGAGTGAAACCCAAAGCACAACTGCTAAACCAAATGTTCCACACACTGGCTTCTGAACTCAGGCGCCCTTGTTTATTCAACACAAAGTAGGTCTCAGACTTCCTCAATTACATCATTCCCATAGCATTTACATGGCAGGAGATTAAAGTGTCTTTGTCAAAAGAAGAAGGCAAGATCAAATCAAATGCTGTCAGTAGGTCATGACATATAATGTTCACAGCAGACTCATGTCAGACAGGGACCTATGTGGCTTTGTGCACTGCCATCTGTTATAGTGGATAATCAGAAGGGTCTGATTTGTGGGTCAAACTCCTCCATGCTAGTTCTTACAACTATTAGTTTTGCTGTATGGATGATCAGGCCTCTGATTTACAAGCAAAAGGAAAGACTCCATTTAACCAGTAGGAAGGAAGGCTGGATGGTGGACTGAGAGTCCTTCTCTTTCCCACACATTCTTTTTGGCATGGTCTGAGGTGAGAACTATTTTACACATACAGCAAAATTGGGGATGCCAAATCACCATCCTTAAGAGGATCTGGTGCTGCCCCTCTTCCTTTGTGGATGATGGTGAGTAAAAGGAAATAGGAACAAAGTGAGAAGCCAAGCAAAGAAGTAGCAGTATTCTTCTGCCAGATACCTCCATGGAATGGAGGGGATAGGCCAGCCCTTGCGAGGATCTAGGGTCTTTCACTGTGGCTAACAAGATTCTGCCCCTTCTTATACCCCCATCAATGAAGGGAGGATCAGACACAGACAGACAGACACTCTAAGACAAGAATCTCGAGTTTCCTGGGTATTCATCTACTTCCCTTCCAACAAGTTTTACTAATGAGGTGGCCTTGTATTTATTTGATAATACTCAAATTCCTTAGTGACTTTCCATTTCCTTTTTATTGGCAAAATTTCAACCACACACACAAAAAAAAGACATAGTCAATGAAGATCACACTTTAAAAATACCCGTAGAGATCTTGGTTCAAAGTGTACTGAAGTCTGGCAGAATTGGGACCAGGCCCATAGCCTAGAAAATTAAGATTGCAAAGCAAAGGTCTATTTACAACAGCTCTATAGAAACCAACATTTCAACCATCACACACAAAAAATCCTGACAAGACAGCCTTTAAAATTATTATGATTGAATATATAATCTGTGTAGTCTGAAAACAAACTAGTTAAAGGAATGCATTTCTCTATCATGACATTTACTCACATACACAACTCCTTCTAACGAGTGCCAATATCTGATATGCTTTTTTACTTTATTTTGTTCTTAACATACAGTAGGTACCCATGCGATAAATCTGAATTTTGGCCAGTTCTTTGCTACACTGATATACTCACCAAAGGGAAGAAGGAAATTGCTCATGGAGTTTTTTCTGTCAAGATTTCCAAGAGCTGATTTTTATGATAAAATTAAACACTCCTTTTAAAATGTTTAATAATGCAAAATGTGACAAATACATAATGAGGGTGCCACTCTACCAAAACATGGAAAGAATGTACAGCACCAGGCTCTCAGCTGTTATAAATGGGCCGAGCTCCAATAAAATAATTGATTTCAGATGTATTAACAGGATTTACACCAGCTGAGAATCTGTCCCCCAACCTTCTATAAAAATATGTCTATAACTATAAATAAATAAATCTAATTTCTATTGAAACATATATTAATTGCTATTTGCAATGCAGGCCCCAGGAAAGATACAGTCTATCATGCCTTATCCAGGCAAGGGGTCCGCTTGCCAACTACTCACATGAGTGATCAAGATTTAGCTTCATTAATTAACTTCAGAACAACTTGAAATATGTCCTCCATCGATCCTTCCACCACCCCCATGCACACTCTGTCTATGTCTAGACTATATAGTTTTATTGGGAAAAGATACTTTTTCCGATTTTTTTTTTCGGAAGAGGGTTTTCTTAAATTTGGCCCATCTACATGGGGCCAAATTTCAGAAAAATCTCCTCTTTCAGAACATCCCTTATTTCTCTCACTGAAAGGAATATAGGGATGCCAAAAAAATGTGCCCGCTTTTTCGGAAACTGTTTCGAAAAAACAGATGCGTTCCCTGGATGAGACAGAGCTTTTCCAGGATATCCTGGAAAAACTCTGTAGTCTAGACATAGACTCTGATACACCCCGCCACCATCACCCCATTTCTCCTGTGACTCCAAAATCTTTTACATGTTTCACAATGCGTTAGGAAGTGCATAAGGTTAATCCCACCTGTTGATCTGAGGATGCCCACTGTGCAAGCCTTGTCAAATTCAGCTGTTTCTTAGCCAAGAGGGACTGAATTCAATGGAGCTATGTAGACTACCTAGAAAAAAAGTATTCTACGTAAAATGAAATAATTTTCAGAATTGTAGAAACTAAAAAGAGGTAGTTCAACAAGTTCCCTAAAGCTAGATCCAACCTGAGGAAGCTCTGTAGAGTTACAAAAAGAACTTGGTGAGTTAAAATACATGTCTTCTGAAATCTCCCCAGGAACCACAAATGAGCAATTTGAAATAGCAGAGCTCTCCAGGGCAAGAACAAAGGGTACAATTGGCTGCTGCTCCTCAGCATCTCATTTGCTCCTCTAAGAAACATTTGATGCAGATCTGAAAGCTGAGGGATGGCTTTCATTTCAAAGATGTACCTTCTGTTGTATTATTCACTGGTGTGTTTTGTAGTGGAAGGCTGTAATGCAATGAGAGTATATCACATGGACTTGAAAGCGATAAAAGCCAAACCTTACCTTTTAAGCTTTTGTTCTGCTGCTGCAAAGTTGTGGTTTGAAGTGATTGATCAAAAATGAATCAAAGGGGAAAGTGAACTGGGCACTGGAGCTAATGAACATGGATCCCAGCTCAGGACAACAAAATGGGATTTTTGATTTACATTTCTAGTCTCGAGCTCAGAAATGCATCATGTGATTGAGCTAGCTCTTAAATTCTAACTTTAAAACACAGCAAGAATTTGTGTTAGCATTCAACCACGCATCACTGGAGAGGTGCCTGTTAGAGGAGAGCAGCTTTGCTGGCTATTTCTTGAGGACAGTCAGCATATTCCTTAAGCCACGACAGCTGCTTTGATCCATGTAATGCATACAAAAAGGAAACCACAGAAAGAGCCTGATCCAAAGATCACACAAGTCCATGAGAATTTTTTTTCTTTTGACAAACGGGTTGTGGGTCAGGCCCCATATTTTCCACATTGTACACAACAAACACAACCCATCGTCCGGAAATAAATGTTTTGTGCCAAGTTTCAAATTTCTTTTTGAACAGAAACATTGTTGAGATGAACAATATTCATTTTCTGTTTTCAAAAGCAAATGTCCAAACATTTCAGGACAATGTCTTTCTGTTTTTAATAGTTTAGCATAATAAATTACAGCCGCCTTTTAGGAGAATTGCGACTATCTTGCAACGATAGCAGTGCTGGTTCCTTAAACTGATCAGGGTGTAATAGGTCTCCGATTATACAGGGAAATGTGTATGCAGCAGATTGTGAGGAAGTAAATGTTTAATGTTTTTGCTACATCATTCCTATAGACACACCTCCAGTTTTTAGCATTTAATTTCAAAGGGTTTTTTTAGGGGAAGGACATAAAAGCTGTTTTTATATTTAACCCATAATAAACACACAGTGCACATTGGTGAGACTGAAAATAATGAATTAGGTCATATGTTTAGGTTTTAAAAGAGCTGGCAAAGGAAAGTGTGTGTTTGTATTCCAGTTTTTTAATCACTAGAGTAAAAAGGAAATCAAGCCTCTGGCCTTCTTGCACATGATGCTTGCCCACCGAGGGCACAGAGGTCTGTGCTAGTAATCTGGAGTGTAAGGCCTTAAGCAAAAGCTATACAGAACAATTCGAGGTCAGGGTAAGGAGCATAAGGAGTACGAGAGGCTTTTGGATACAGGGTCCATGTTAAAAAATCATATATCAATCTAAATAAAGTGCAACAAGGCACTACACACCTTGACACTACCATACCATAGTATCCTTGAACATACTGGACTCAATTTCAGCTCTCCCTTCCTGTCCTTGAGACAGGGATAGAGGGCATGGGGACAAAGGTAGCTTTTAAACATCTTTGCACTCCCCATATTCTATAGACACAAAGGAGCCTATTGAGCCCCAGTGTAAATTAGAGAAGTCTTAAGGTTGCTCTATATCACACCCTACTTTGAAGGACTCACAATGGGCCAGGACCAGCTCTTCTGTAGAGCCACAACACACACAGAGAGATTAATAAGTGACTTATCCAAGGTTACACAGAAAAGTTACTTTTCATCCAAACAAGGTTTAATATGAAATTTCAACCACCCATACTTACGCATTCTTACCTGCAATTGTTTAAACATTTTATTCGTTTGACGATTTCGGCTAGAGAAAAAACAAACACATATACATGGACATACCTATTAACGATTTATTTTCATTTGACAACACTCAAACACAAACCAGTTTCAAGAACTTTAAGTTTTTTTACTAGCTTTACTTTTGCATATGGAACTGTTTCAAACTACCCCCGTGCAGAACCATTTACAGTTATTTAAGAGCTTAGCATTTCAAACAGCTGTAAACTTTCAGTTAAAGTTTTCTTTAATTTTTTTATTATTGGAAATAATTGTTCATACCTCTCCCAAAAATTCTGCTGTGTCATTTTTACTGGAACATATTTGTCAATGTAGTTATGAAAGATTAATTGGAGAGCTGTGCTATGGTAATTTGCTATCATGATTTCAAACATTAAAATGCTTGCTTTGATTTGATTTTAATTCTTCTGCTATTAAAAATTGTAATGGCTCTTTAATATTTTATTTTAATATTTCTAAAAACATCACTAACAGTGTAAAATTTGTTAGACTGTAGGATAGTGAGTGGGCATATTACTCAGAAATTAAGGTGTTGTTATACCTACCAACATGGTGGTCAAATCTTAATTTACATCTGGTAGCTGAAAATCCACTCAGTTTCACAGGTGCAAATGTGAAATAATGGCACTGAAACCAGTGAGTAACTCTAGGTTTACGCTGATAGAACAGAGAGCAGAATCTGTCCACAAATTCGCCTCATGAGTTGCTTAACTTCACTGCACCAGAGCACTTCTTCTCTAATCATTTGTCTCCCTGTAGTTTTTCCAAGCAAGCAGCTTATGCTATTATCCTCTGGCCTTCAACTCCTCAGTATGTATCCACTACCTCAGACATAAGATAAAGACAAAAACCTGTAATATGAAAAGCGAATTCCTATAATTTCTGCCGTTTTGATTAGGAAAAAAAAAGTGTTTGGCCTTTCCTGATGAAAAACAAATGCAGAACAAGAAAGCAGCCATTTGTGATGGAGGCAAACATAACAGCAACACAGTATCGAGGCCTAACTCACTTTGCTTGCATGTTGTGACTGGAATGCAAACTTGAAGAAACGCATCTGTCACAGAGAAAGGTTTAACAGCTGATTGTTGCACAAAAGACTTCAGACAGGTAGATGACAAACTTATAAGGTCATATTTGCAGAAAGAAACAGAGGGAGGGAGAGAGAACAGTTATCCAACAAATGTAGGAGACCTTCCTGCTTTCCCTGCAGGGATTCTGCTCATCTACACATCAAAAGCAGTAACGTGTGTGTGAAATTGTGCTCTTGAACTCTAAGGGTAATGAAGTCCAGAAAAAAAATTAATGAGCACCAGAAGTAGGACAAAACAGAATCCTATTTTTCCAGCCCTTGTAAAAATGCAAACTCTGGAACTTGGAATCAGATGAAATTACTAGAAGGTAGCTTAGCCAATTAAAAGGAGTTGCAATAATCAACATTTAAGCAAGAAATTATGGCTCCATATCCCTGCTTTCCCAATCTGCTTTTGAATAAAGGTTTGCAAGCCTATTCAAAGAAAAACCTGGTCCACATATTGATCAAAGAATACACCTTGGACCTTTTCTCCTGCTGCAGGATATGAGTTACTTCTATTGCCATCAGTGGGAGTTGCTTGCACACTGCAGGAGGAAAAATATTTTCATTGGATTTCAATGCACATAAGAGGTGAAAGTAGTCAAAAGACTCCTCAGGTGCCTGTTAGACTGCCAGTTGTGAGGTAAATTGGCATATATAACTGCTCCATGGTCTGCATCCAAGTGTAAAGGTTGGTCTAACCAAATACAGATACTAGAAACTTTCTTGGTCACTACTGCTATCTGAACATCCAGAAGCAGCAAGGGCTCCAACAAAGGCAGAGTTTTGGGACCCTGAGTGATAATCAGTTGGTTTTGATAAGAGTTCAGCTGAACTGCATCAAGCTGAAGGGAAAGTACTGGCCCTCCAGAGAAATAAGCAAGGATACTTCTCTCATCTGAGGGGGATTGAGGCATCTGTCACTCTGACATGCCATCCTAGGAGGTATGCTGCCTACTATGGAGCCCGTATCTGAGACATTACAGAAAGATTATTGAGGATCATCGGGCCCTCTGACGACTACCCCATGCTTCTCACCCAGTGGGTACTGAGTATACTGTGAGCTATGACCCTCAGCAGATCAGAAGTGACTACAGAGCTCTGGAAGTAAGCGTGAAGGAGTGGGGGCTGCAGGTGATGTTCTTCTCAATCTTTCCAATCAAGGATAGAGGCCCAGGTACAGACAGAGACATTCCAGAGGTGAATGCCTAGCTGCAAGAATGGTCTCACCATGAGGGCTTCGACTTCCTTGACAATGTGATGTTCTTCCAGGAAGGACGGCTAAGGAGAGACAGGCTCACCTAGCAAGGAAGGAGAAGAGCTTATTCGGATACAGACTGGCTAATCTAGTGTTTGATGGGAGCTGGAGACAAAAGCCCCATGGATAAGTAAAAAACATCAAGACCTGAGAAAATCAGAACTAGGCGAGGGTGGGGGGAGGTGAACTGTTATAGCAGGGATAAGAAAAACACAAGACAGAACATAGAAGGGAATTCAAATCTATATCTTAGATGTATATTAATGTGAGAAGTATTGGAAATAAGTATAAAGAACTTGAAATACTAGTAAAAACACAATTATGATATAGTTGGTATCACAAAGGACTCGGTGGGATAATATACTCAGGAAGGACAGGCAGGGGAAAAGCGATGAGGTGTTGCCTTATATATAAAAAAAATGTATATACTTGAACGAAGGTTGAAATGGAAATAGAAGGCAACATTGTTGAAAGTCTCTGGATAAGGATAAAAGGAATAAAAACCAACGCTGTCAGGGTTGGTTTGATTTGTAAGGGTACATCTACACAGCAGGGCTAAAGTCAAATTAAGCTACACAACTTCAGCTACAATTGTTACTCATATCCTCGACTTCCCTTACTCCTCGTAAAATGAGGGCCACCATGAGTTGGAGTTATTCCAAAATAATGCTGCTATGTAGATGTACTCTTACAGACCATCTAACCAGGAAGAAGAGGTAGATGAGGCTTTAAAAAAATTAACAAAATTCCCCACAACACAGGACTTGGTGATGGGGGCTTCAACTAACCTGAAATC